CAACTGCTTTCCCTCCTGTTGTCCCTTGGCACCTGCCCTTGCCTATCTTTCTTCTGTTTCCTCACAGCTTCTCACTTTTCCTTGACTTCCTGGACCATTCTCTTTTCCCTTTTTTTTTTTTTTTTTTTTTGTAAATCTACATTACTATCCTAACTCCGACTTGGAAATGCCCTGTACTTCCAAACTTTGAGTACAACTAAGGTCACATAGGCTCACATCATGAATGCAAGTTGCCTGCTACATGTTTCTTAACAAGAGATTAGAATGACCATATGGGTTGTCAGAGTCATCTGGTATTTATTTTATGGTATTCACCAATGATTTCTCCTTGGAAAAAAGTATTCCAAAGCTAGCCTGGCACCTAATAAGTCAGTACTACCTAATTATCTTTTATTATCAACCTATTAAGGGGATAGATCCCTAAGATCATTTAAAATGGCTCCTTAAGGATTAAGCAGCAAAACAACAGCTCCCCATAATTAGGGGACAGGTGAGAATTTGTATGTAAGACAATATAGAGTTAATTAGACTACAGTGCTATGCACTGTAGTGTGAAGTTGGAACAAAGTATGGCATACAGTAGTTTGTATATATAGTGGTTTCTTTTTGCAGGCCGGATTCTATTAACCCTTTTAGAAAAACGAGGAATGTCAGAACCTCTCATGAAATCAATAAACACACCAGAGTAGCAATATGCTCTGGCATTTAACCTCTTAAATCCCAGGTCACGTGTAAACTAAATCATAACGTGTCAACTTGCCCATTGCCAAATCCTGCTCATAAAGCATTGAGTGGAAATTCTAAAATGAGAAGGAATCAGGACAATAGGAGATTGCAGGCACCAGCCAGAATACAAGTTGACTATCTTAACCCCCAATATGCATACACACACACACACACACACACACACACACACACACACACACACACACACATGCCTCCCTCTTCCACCTCTGCATGTGTCCTTTGTTCTCCATTTCCAAACTAGTAGAGAATGATCAACCACAGAAGGATCTGTTTCCTCTGTACAGGGAAAAACAGAATGAAGTATGCCAGATGTTTATGAATAGTATGCCTCATTTCTTGACTTCCCTTGTCTGTCTCTGCCCAGAGACTGTAAAAAGCGAGAGAGGGTGTCATGCAGCACTTAAGAGCATGGAGTCTGAACTCATACTCCCTGAATTCATATATTGACTTCTACATTATTAGAAGTGTGACACTGGGCAAGCTGTTATTTTTAGTCCTACAGTACAGTTTCTTTGCCTGTCCATTGAGGATCATAATAGTATGAGCTAATTTAATACTAATCAGTAAATCAATTTTATGTATTCATACTTGCTATGATCATATGTATACTGATGTTGAATATAGATGAATAAACCTTCTCACTCTTATTGTTTAATGATATTGTACATTCAGTAGATTTTCTGTGGACTCAGTTGGGAACCCACTCAATATGAATAACATAATTTCCATGCAAAAATGGACTGTGAATCCCCATTGCTCAGCTTACCACAAGATTTCTCAACCATACCCTATCTGCTTTGTAAATTGTTCCATTGTATTTGTACCGAGACTTATACTTGCAAGCATATTTCCATGAAAGTCTCCCGGTTTGTTTTTCAATGACAACATAAACTTTATAAACTACTATAATGAGTTGAAGCCACAAACTAAAGCTTTTTAATTAAATAGTCCCATTTCAGCACTGCCTTAATGGAAATTTATGGGTTACATATGGATTGTCTTGAGACTTCTTTAGAGAAATGTGGTAACTTCCACAGTGAGGGCTTTGATCTTTCTCAACTGAGGAAATTGCCATTAAGGTAAATTCAATTACTGCTCCAATTAGATACACTGCTTTTCTCTTAGTACTTGGGTAAATTCACTTGCACATTAGGGGTAGTGAAAACTTTAATGGTTGGATGTTATTGACAAGATATTTATAGTTATCATAGGGATGTCTACAATACTAGAAAATTTTACTTACATTTAGTTACAGTGAAAAAAACTACCATTTTAACTTTGCCAATCATATTTGTAATATAAATGCAGTCTATAAGTCATGGTCCTATAGTGCCTCACCTTAGGAAAAATATACCTTACTTAATGATCTAATATGCTCTAGTATGAGGATCTTCCTTGTTCAGTGTCAGATAGAGAAAAGGAATTTTTGAAACTGTGAAGTTTCTCGACACAATTTTTTCAAGTTTCTGGGAGCACTTGTTATCTCCCTTTCATCTCGGGTTTGTCTCAATCAAACACGTTGTGCTTAGCTTGATCCAGATGTTCTTCCCTTTGATAATCTATCCTTATATATACTGCTCATAGAACTTTCTTATTTCTCCCCTAGTGAGTAGTGGTAATCAGTATGACCACATGCCAGGCGTTGCCAACTCAAAAATTGTGGTTTTCATTCTTTGCTTATCTTCTTATAATTTAACAGAGTACTTTATGTTCTAAACTTTAATGTTTTGTGTATCAATTTGTTATATTCCCAAAGCAACTAAATTCATAAACTTTGGCTTTTATTATACAATAATACATCCTTTAAAATATGCATTTTCAATAAATGACTAAGAAATTAAGAGATTATCATGGATGGTATAGTTTCTGCTTTCCTTGGGATCACAGGAGGAGTGACACATCTGTAAATAAAAAGTACAACCAAATGCATTGTAGAAACAGACTTATGGACTCTGGAAGCTCAAAAGAGGGGAAGGGCAACTATTCTCCTTGCTTCAGATTGAGGGACACAAGATCTTCTCTGCTAAAACACAAAGCAGTTCTCAGAAAGCTGGAGTGGTTGAACACTGCATCTACCTGAGCAAGATGCCAAAGACTGAAGAGGAGATAACATTTATGTTAGTGCCCAAAAGTCAAGTGACAGTTTGCTAGATACTAGAAGGAGATGAAGAAAGCAGGAGAGGAAACTGAGAAAGAGCATTTCCTATTCAGGTTTAAACAACAAATTGGTGTGATTAATATGTGAGCTTTGCCTAGTATGTATGGGTGGAAAGAAAAAGTTCCGGTGTGAGAATAGAACAGAGGAAAGCTGAAAAAGGAAAAAGAAAGAAAATCATACCATATGCCATGCCTGTCCTTGCTGTGTCTTGTGGATCAGTGGTTTGGAAACAAGTATATTGATCCTCTGGTTCCAATGAAGTGTTGTTTGGAATGATAAATAGAACAAAAAGCAAAACTCCTTTGACTGAATTATCATACATGTGAACATAGGGTCCTAAAATCTCTACTGTTTCTCTCCACCTTCTCCTTCTTCCTCAAATGTTCTTGGGGAGGAATCTAGGGCAATACCATCTGAAACTCATATCTTTGGGTAATAGGAGGCCACTAAGAACTTTTAAGCAGATAAACGAGTGACGAAAAGAAACATGTGAGGAAATATAATTGTTAAAGTGGGTGGGCTTAAGAACAAAAAGGTCGAAATAAGGAAAATCAATTAAGACAGTACGAAAGCTGTCTGAGAGAAGTCCTGATCTTAAGCAAAGATAATGATAAGAGAAGGAAGTGGATGACTGTGAAAGCCATAATTAAATGTTACATTGGTATAATCCAGAAGAATAACTGTTGAAAGTTGTGAAGTTGGTAGTGTGATGCAGGAGAACACAGGGATGTTCCTGTGCTTTCTTGCTTACACTAGAAGCAGATAACTATCTACAAAATGTCTAGTCCGGTTTCTAATAGCCAACTCAGTTTCCTAAAATTTTCAGTCACTCTTTAAAAGTGGCACATGATCACTCATGCCCAGATTTATTTTCCCAGTCTTCTTCATCTAAGACTTGGCTTTGCTGGTAAAAACCCTTTTTGTTGTCATTGTTGTGTTGGTTACAACTGTATTTGTGTCTCATTAGCAAGGCAGTGAGTAGCAATTTTCTTTTTTATGAAGACAGCCCCCAGTTTACACACAGGATGTGTTCCAAAAGTTCATTTTTAAGTTAATTATTTGGAACCTATAGTGTATTTTCCCATAGAAACAGCCTTATACATAGTGATTAAGTTCCCAGGCCAGTCCACAAAGGCCAGTTTAGTCCATAATGTAACTGAGCGTGTGGATTTTCGCAATGGAAATTAGGTAGAAATAATACTGTTGCAAATAAAATGAAAACAGTAATTGAAAAAAGACATAGTCTGAGGTTTTCGTTTTCCTCGAAGGGCAGTGCTTGATGAAAAGCACATTTAATCCTAAGAGGACAAATGCAATAGATGAAGATTGGACACCACAGCTTTTAAAATGCATTTTAAGTAATGCTTCTGGGTAGGGGTTAAAATAATAACAATTATCAGTATTGTGTTCATTGTAGAAAGTTGAAAAATACATTTTAATATATTTTAAAATCAAGTCACCAGTAATTATAATGCCAGAGAGAGCTACTTTTAACAAGTTGGTTTGCCTTTACTTTTTTCTTAATCTATGTAAACGTATAGGACATGTTCATTGTACAAAGTTGTAGCTTTTAGATTCATATGTGCATATGCACCTGGATAATTCTATCTTGTCCTTCACCACTCATTCCCTTTCTTTTTCTCAATAGTGCCTCTTCTATTTTCATGTCATAGGCAATCTAGATTTCACGTATGAAAGAAAAGGTATTTTTCTTTCTGGGTCTGACTTATTTTATCTCCTTTACTTCCATCCATTTTCCTAGGAATGACATTATTTTTGTCTCTTTGTGTCCTTCCATAGTCTAGCAATAGCAGTTAAGGTGCATCCATGATGATGAACTTATACTACAACAATAACAACTAGTATTATTAGTGAAGGAGAATCAGATCAATAACCAACCAGGTTCAGAGTCAGCTGTTAAGCTATAAATCAATACAACCTGTGCTCATTCCCACCTTCCAACAGAAACCATGCCCATGTTATTCTCTAAAATGGACTCTTTTAAGACCTATAGTATAAATAAGAAGAAAATTGAGTTATAGCCATGATTTTGCTATGTATATGCTGAATAGATTTGAATATTTCTTCTTTATAGGCCTTATATCTGATAGCCACTAATGGAACCCCAGAGCTCCAGAATCCTGAGAGACTGTCGGCTGTTTTCCGTGACTTCTTAAATCGCTGTCTTGAGATGGATGTGGATAGACGGGGATCTGCCAAGGAGCTTTTACAGGTGAAAATGAAATGGGACAATTCAAAGGGAGAGTTGCTATGTTGAACTTTTCCATGTCAATGTGAGACAGTAAGAGATCCCTGTTGAGAGACATATAGTGAGAGTTAGGCTATTGTCATTCAGTTTTAGACTATAGGCATATAAGTATAGGCATGTATTTATTACATGGTTGGCTGATCATGTTGTCTTGCCTTTTTTTCAGAAGAATTTGCATTTTAATCTATAACTCTCTTTTGCTCTTCCTGAAATCTTATACCGCAAGGAAAAAAAACAAATGTGACTTTCTGGTATTGTTGGAACTTTTTTCTAAACTTTACTTGTGCCTCTGGATGTTATATGCAAGTGCTCTTGGCCAGAGGTAATTTTCTACATAACTATGCAATTATTTCCATGATATTTGCCACTCTAATGTTCTATTGGTCAAAGTGCTTTTGCTTGTGATGCCAAATGGCAGACACCAGCGTGCCTGGGTGAGTAGCATCCAGTGGAGAGTGCCTCTGTAACCATTTGTCCTTTTGATGGCTCTCAGGACCAGTATATAGGATGATAACTGGGGCCTGTCACCTCCCAAACTCTTTATATATATAATCTCATTAGTTTCTTACAACTGTGTGGGATTTGTTGGTGACCTATTTTGCAGATGTTGAAATAGAGACTCACAAAAGTTTTGAATGACAAAAGAGCTCTAATTTGAGCCTAGGATTGCCCAATTTTCTGCCATACATGAAATGAAAACTAAGGTAGATTTTTTTAAAGATAGATTTAATTTTTAAAGCAGCACATACCCAGGATTACACAAACAGTTTCACTGCTAGAGACCATTCCTTCAGGAAGAATATCAAGACCTGTGGGATCTAAGAACAACTGCTTGTCCTCGCTGTGGCCTTAAATAATAAGGCCATTCAACAAAAGGTGCAATATTGGTATGCAGAATGCTAACCATAGACTCACTGTGTTTTCGCCTACTTGTAAATGCTTCACTTCCACTTTGTTCCAAGCCTGTCACCACATATATATCCCTGTGCTGATATCTCTCATCCCTTTTTTCCAAGGATGCCAAAGATACAGGATCATTAATATAACCACATAGATAAATAGAGCATAGAATCAGTTATTTTTCATTGTTCTGACTCCAAAGCTCCTGTAGCTTATGTCACACAAAAGGACTCTGTTGTGGAGATTTTAATATACCTTTCAAAGTGTTGAATTAAAAATGACCAACAAACATTCTAGAGAAGTTGTTCTCAACTGATGGGTCGTGACCCCTTAGGGTCATATATCAGATATCTTGCATATTGGATATTTACACTATGATTCATAACAGAAGCAAAATTTCAATTATGAAGTAGCAATGAAAATAATTTTATGATTGGAGGGGTCACTATAACATGAAGAACTGTATTAAAAGATTGCAGCATTAAGGTTGGGAATCACTGCCTCAGAGGAAATGTCCAGCCCACAATGGAAAAGTAGGACAGGAGGGCAGGGAAGACATCAGGGAAAGTTACATTGAAATGCCTTTATCAAGCTGATGATGGGTTGAAATTGTGACAGAAATGAGATCTATAAGAAATTAAGTAACAAAAGAAGCTAATGAGAGGTACATTATAGTGAGGAAGAGGTAGAAAGGGGAAGTAAAGATGCAAAGAGGAGAGTCAGAAGGCCCGCACCAGGGAAAGACTGCACCAGAGAAAGGCCCGGGGTAATCGAATATCACAGGTCTGCAAAGAAGCAAATGTTTGGAAGAAGAAATGGAGATTGGCTTGCATCAACTCTTGCAGATGAGCCAAGAGAAATGGTGGAGACACAGCTATTGGGTTTGGCAGCTAGGGAGCCAAGGGTTTTAGAGTAAAATTGATTTTGATGTTCAGTTGAAGATACTTTTTGAAGCCTGAGAGCAGCTCCAGCACCATTCATCAGTTTAAGAAATGTAGAGAGTCTGGCCATTACTGAGTGAAATTTTCCAAGCTCCATATTGAAGAGTTTCTAGATGTGCCAAGTAAGTTTCCATAGGATTTCAAGACACTGAAAAACAAAAAAGAAAAAAGGAATTCTGGACAAAAGCTGGCAGGGATGTTCTTTTAAATTAAATAGTGTCTCAATGAGTGCTCTAAACACGTTTCAATGGGTCCCATATCATATATATTCATATATTTACATTATTATTCATAACAGTAACAAAATTACAGTTATTAAGTAGTGAGGAAATAATTTTATGATTGGGGGGTCACCACGATATGTGTTAAAGGGTTGCAGAATTAGGGAGGATGAGAAGACTGTTCTAGCACGAAGGGAGAATTCAACTAATTCCTCCTTTTTTTCCTTCCTTTCACAGCATCCATTTTTAAAATTAGCCAAGCCTCTCTCCAGCCTCACTCCTCTGATTATAGCTGCAAAGGAAGCAATTAAGAACAGTAGCCGTTAGAACTGCGAGACCTGCCCCTCACCGTCTCCCTGATGAGTAAGACTGAACTAAAACTGCTGCAGGAAACATGGAAGAAAAGACAGCCGAATGGGGTGGGGGTTCTTTAACTTTAAAGTGAATAGAAACTTCTTATAAGCCTTTTTCCTACTCCCTCAGACTATGTAATTTATTTGTAAGCCTGAACCGCAGCCCACACAGGGCAGCAATGTTGAAGTGACCATTAAGTGGTCACTTCCACCGTGAAGCGAAAGAGCCAGTAGTGAATCCCCTCATTTTGTGCATTTACTTTGAAGAAAAAGATTTCTCAAAGATGCACACTCCCTCTTCATAGTGTTGTTTGTTTTTAAGTTAGAGAGTAGTCCCTCTTGCATTCGAACCTCTTTCAAAACTCCTTACCCAATGTGATGTTTTTTCACTTGCATTGTCATTAGATGTCCAGAAAAAATAAAAGATGTCAAAATGTTTTTTTTAAAAAAAATAGAAAGAAAAAAAAGCAAAGAAAAAAAAACACAAAACAAAAACAAACAAAAATGAAAAAAATAGAACAAGTGCTGTGTGAAGCTGTGGACGTCCATGCCCTAATAGAGTCGCAATTTCTTCTTCTTCTTCTTCTTCTTCTTCTTCTTCTTCTTCTTCTTCTTCTTCTTCTTCTTCTTCTTCTTCTTCTTCTTCTTCTTCTTCTTCTTCTTCTTCTTCTTCTTCTGTAGTGGTGGCTTGGTTTGTGTACCTATTTTTCTGCATTTGTATTGGAAAAGGTTTCCTTTAAGACACTTTCCAAAAGCAGAGAGGAATATGAGTGTTCAGGGTGGGTTTTTTAAAATTGTGTCTAAACAGAGCTCTAATTGTGAGATCCTGTCACATTTCACAAGGATGCTTAGGTAGTAGTTGAATTGTCATGTAAAGCAGCTTGTTGGCCTCTGTGATAACAGAAAAAAGACACACACTGAAAATGTGGCAGCGCTTCTGGGTGAGTCTAGGTTCTAAACCTAGAATATCCTGATTGGAGAAATCTTACTTACACAAAGATGAGACTTTCTCTGGGAGCCAAAAGGAAAATGCAGAACTCCTTGTTGGACAATAAATAAGCAAAGATAATAGCGAATTTCTTCCTCTCCTGTGCTCCTGTAACATAAGCATTGGACAATAGGCACATTATGAGGAAATAGATCCATTAGCCAACATTCTTCATAATAAAAATTATTCATTTTGACAATTTGTAACACTTAAGAACTTTTTAAAGATCAAGAGAGCAGAGATATAGTAAAAAATTCAACTCTGTAAGAAATGGGAAGTCAGTGAAAGCTACATCCCAGTCAACATGGCTCTAAATATTTGATACATTTTCCCTATATATCTCTAATCTCTTTTTCAGGATATGGTGTGTTCTTATTTAGTTACTTAGGCTTTTCTCCTTTTAAAGCCTGTTCATAAAGATGTTGAAAGCTCACCAAGAAAATACTTTTGATCTGTATTCATATATCCCAAGAACTATCAGTCCAATAGAATTCCTTTTGTGGCTTGAGGAAAATCCCAAAATTCTACTGTTATTTCATTTTATATATATATATATATATATATATATATATATATATATATGTATGTATGTATGTATATATACATATATATACATATATATGTATATAAATGTTAGTTATTTTTAATCTTCTGAGAGTAGAAAAACATCTGGAAGGTGTCTGCATAGAAAAGGATATGCTTCTCTTGTGAGTGTATAGTCAGTTATATGAATTCTAGAAAGTTGTTTCTCTAAGCCTTTGAAAAGCCAGCAACCTATGCTATATATACAACATTTCTTAATTTGTAGAGATAGAGAATCTGAATAGAGTTGACCTACATTCAGCAAGAGGGGAAAGAGATCAATGGCATATGCCTTTCTCCTCTGTGATGTACATCTGTCCATTGGACCATCCATCCAGTCCTTCAAATGAAAGCACTTTCTCTAGAGTTTCTGCTGATCATATAGTGCATATGTTTATGTTGAGAAGATACCACTGGTGGATTTCCTATTTTCCTACATTATAAAATTAGGGTAGGGTTTGCCCCTCCTCTGAAAATATCCACCATGGAATAAAAGACAAATGTGAAAAGAAAATAAAATGATTATATTAGTTTCATGTTTATTTTGCAAAGAGGCATCTGGGCCTAAAATTCTAAATGTCATACCTCTCTACTGAGAGAGGAGGACTCTTAATTTTTACTTTATCTTATTTTAAATGAAGGATTTTTCCCACATGTAGTGCCAGGGAATTCCACAAAATACCTGGGATGCAAATAGAATTCAATTGATGGCTATATTCTGCTAATAGAGAGAGCCCAAACCCTGGTTGGGAAGTCCAAGACATCAGTTAACATCTTTTGCATGTTGTAAAGGCCTTTGTTGTTGTTATTGTTGTTGTTGTTTATTGTTGTTGTTGTTATTGTTGTTGTTATTTAGAAGACCCTGGAGCAGTGATCCTTCAGATCACTGTTGGCAGAGAAATGGCTGCTCTTTGTACTCTCCATTCAGCATATTGACAATGAGGGGCCAGGTACCTATTTACCATCACTTTGTACTAAGATTTAATAATCTGTTCCACTAGGGATTACTTGTACAAAATTATATCTATGTACATGTTCAAATTAGAACAGCTTCTGAAGTCTTTTCCCTGTGTTGAAGAATTACATATATTTCTAATAAGTATTAGAGAGGAACTGTTTCTCATGCCAAAATGATGCTGAAGGATCCATATTTGGGATACTTGAACAACTTGGCCTCCAGATGGTTAATAATTTAGTCCCTTTCCTTGATTTTGTTTTAAGCTCATCTTAATCCAGGTGAGTCTATCCAGATCTTTAATGTTGCTAGTGTGCCCTGAGACATTTGTGGGCACATTTTCGAATGTTGATTCAAAAGTCCTGAGACAGGAATAGGGCAGTGGGAAAGTCAGGGAAGGGTGAGAAGCACAGTAAAGATTATTTATTTAAGAAAGAATAGAACATTAATATTGTAGCAAGGATCTGGTTCGTTGTCATAATCCCATGAGGATTTGGGGATGACACAGTCCCCCTAAATCAGTCACCATGTTGGGAAATGACTTCGTTCTTGCTGATCTTGTCTATGTGTCATTGTAAATATTTGTGCGTCCATGCTCCATTTTGGCTACTGGATGGCCAAGTCACATGAAAAGATTGAACTCAAGTATTTATTCTTTAATTGTGTTATTCAGATTTCTTTCAGGCTTGTGAATTGCACCTACAGTGTTTTAGTTTAACCACCTAGTCCCCACATCCATCCCTCCTGCAAAGCACATTCCATTGCTAAAAGAAAAAGAAATATAAATTGCTTCCTGTTTTCTGTATAACTGTTTTGATAGTTTGAGATGTTTGTCTATAATGGATATTCTCACCTCAAAGATCGTGTAAATAATTATATTTGTTTCCTCAATGGGTCGTTTATTTCTAATGAGGCTGCCAGTTCTCAGAGAGAGTCTATGAAGTCACTTTGAAATAACACACACAGGGATTACATCTATGTAAAAAAAAAGTGTGCATATGGATAAAGACTGGGAACACAGATAATTGGAATTGGTTGTGTTAGGGTGGTGGGATTATGTGAAATGTTTTTCTTTCAGAAATTTTCTTTCTTTGATATTATTATATTATTAATTTAAATAAATAAAAAACAGAAAGAGAACTATAGAAACATAGAAGAGATGCCAGGAGCAGATGCCTTCTGGCCAGAGCCCAGAGCATGCAGGGCACAGATATTTCCTAGTTACAATTATTCTGTAGGCTTTATACTTGCCTAGGTACTGAGGTTGGCACATGCTCAGGTATGGCACATGCTTTCTTATGAGACTATTATCTAAGTCAAAGCTAAGGAGATGTCACTGCTAGAACTCCAAATGTATTCTTCTGCTATAAAACAAGCTGCCCTCAGCTTTGGTATGGCATCCGGGTGTCTATTTTGTTTGCCTTAGATTGGAGAGCTGACACCTTGATTAGCCCCTTTGATAATATTTGTTTCAGGTACCCCTTTCTAGATTGTCTTAAAAGATTTTCAAAGTCAATTTTGGAAGGACAGAAGGATAAAAGAGCTAATTCTCACCATTTCCTTGCATAACAAGACCTATCATTCTGGAAAAATTCTTTAAATGGCCGTAAGCAAAGCCCATTGGTTTCAATAGAAATTACCATATATAATTAAACCTAACTCCGAATTTCTTAAGAGAAATATTTAGGATTGTCTGTCAGCATTCAGTTCCAGTCCTATTAGTTTTGGCTTGGGATGGTCTCCTTGTACTCTTGTGCTGCATAATTATAGCTTGTAGTCAGCAATTGTGGTTTTTTTCAAGAGAAAGAGAGACCAACCACCGAAAGAGAAGAAATTCCTCCTAACTCACCAAAGCAATTTTAGGTGAGAACTTCAATAATGTATGTCATACAGTGTCAATCAAAAGCAGACCCTACCCCCATAATTCTTTTACTTAGCTATTGACAATACATATGGAAGTCTTAACCTTGCCATCCTGGTTGAATCTCGTCCTTCTCTGAGCTTATTGCAGTTAATATTCACCTAAACAAATGATGGCGTGTGGTATAAACATCTCCCAGTCTTGGAAGAAGAAGCCTGAAATTCAGCATTTGTAAACCGACAGTCTAATGGGCCTGGGATTTGGAATAACCTTAACACACAATACTGAACATATATTTGCATGTGGATTGGAAAGGGAATAAATAGGGCCTTGGGAATAAGGGAAATGTTTCTCTTACGAAAGAGTTTTTCAAAAAAGACATATTTCTACTATAGTTTTTGGTTGTTTGGCTTTCAGTTTTATCACTCCTTTTCTGCTTCATACTCCTTTAGTAATCAAATATATCTAACCCAACTTCTCATGCATGGGAATGTCTGTTTATCATTAAACAGTATCTAACTGAATCTGCAAATGTGGGAATCAAGATATCACCTTGTGCACACCTCTGACTATATATATACTATCAACTTGTAGCATTTAATGCCACTTAATATCATTGAACTTGAAAGGTAAACTTATAAAATCTAATTAGTGCCATCAGAGTCTCTACAGAAGCTGCCATCGGGTGAATGCTGTCCTGTAATACCAACAGTAAGGCAAGTAGTATGTATGTTCATCCGATTTGGAACCTAGAAACAAACTGACAACAATGCTGGAGAATGAGTCAGATGTAATAGAAGTGACCCTGGCCAGGAAAGAGACATAGGTGTTAACATGGGCATTTTGCCTAACTTGCTGTGTGACCTCGAGCAAATTACTTGACCTTCCTATTTATTCATCTATAAAATAAGGGTGTTAAATTAACTGCTCTTCAAGGTCTTTCTAAAAGCTCTGACATTGTATGGGGTAACAGTTTGCCTTACAAATTTAACCTGCCAAAGCGATGGCAAATATCACAAGCTTAAACCTGGATCTCTTATGTTGCAGTTACATAGAACTATGTAAGATGGAAAAACTCAAGTAAATGAAGTTAACAGCACCAGAGAATGTAGATCAAACTCATGGAAACCTTCCAACTTCTTCACAATGGTTTTGTTTTTATTTTAATGTCGTTTTTCCACTGAATGTTCCCAGTTTTCATTTTCTATACACTGTGTGTAAAGTCTGGTTTCCATTAAGCTGTGGCTAGCATTTGCTACTAGAACAGAAATTCACTGTCACATTTCATAGAATAAAACTTGGGCCTCTCTTTTCCTATGAAGCAGTTATGGGCCTTAGAGCATTAAAGTAGAAATGGCACAGGATGGCAGAACCCAAGCATTTGAATGGCTAAGACCACAGAGTGGACCTATGTACTTACAAGTTGCAAAAAAGAGCAACGGAAAGGCAATTGCATGCTTTTAGCAAACAAATTAACTGTTGGGTTTAAATAAAACATTTCTCATGGAAAGTCCCACAGCAATTGGCTAGTTATATAAGCATGCTATTGAAAAGAAGATAAACCAGAAGTTAGTTTAGTGGATGGTCCCTACTGTCTGCCTACAGCAAAGTGCCAACCGGCCCTGAGTGTGAAATTCAAGTTCAATGTGTGTGCTTGTGTGTGGTGTGCTTTTTGGACCCGCATATACTATATTCATTAGTGATGGTAAGATCTTTCACCATTAATGGGTTGAGTTTAAAAATCTCAGTACATCTGACAGTAGGAGCCAGATCACGTGGATACTGATGTCTACTGGGATTGAACTCACAACATCCAAATAAAATAAATTGAGGAGGATCTTCATTTTCACCAGTTTTCGGCGTTGTATCTCATTTGGCTGTGCATTACTTTTGTCAAAATGTGTTATTTGTAAACCCACGTGTAGTGAAATTCTGTAATTTTGAGTTAATGGTATTTATGGTCTTATGTTTGTTTGATTTTTCAGTAAGTTATTTCTTTTGTAGACTTGCTGATGGTATGACTCCATCCCTCTGCCCTCAGCAGCTGATGTTTTTGAGGATTTTAATTTTTGGTATTTTTATTTTAAATTGTGGTTGAAGCAATAGCAATTTGAAATATGGATTGTGCATGACTGTGTCTTGAGTGTAAAAATATTGCAGTTTGAAACTTGGACCTAAAGTATTGCAAATAAAATGACAAACATCAATGATCTGTTGTTTCTCTCTTCTGTCACTCTCCCACCCTACCCTGATTTCATCAGTCACTTTGCCTATTTCACATTTTGGAAGGTATCATACTCTTACAGGTATAGAGGTGATAAAATGGCCAGCATTTTACCAATGTAGGAGATGATGCCCCACAGAATCTTCCATTGAATAACTCAGATTCTCTATCTGGCTTTTACATGGAATAGCTCAGAGAAGTAAATGTGTATATTCAATAGAGGACAAAAACCTGGTGGATCCCAAAGGTAAATGAAGGCAAATCCCCACGAGAATTTGCATGTAACAAACACTTGGATTTTGATCATCTTTCTGTTTGGAAATTCCTAAACATACAATGCCATGTTCATGATGTTCTGATTTGTCTTATTTATCTTTTTTCAAGGATTTATTTTTTATTCATGTGTTTATGTATCTACATTATGTGCAGTTGTGTGTGGGTGCCTATGAGGGCCAGATAAGGGCACAGGATCTCCTGGAAGCAGAAGTCCAGGCAGTTGTGAGACTCCCGATGTGAGAGCTGGGAACTGAACTCTAGTCCTCTGCAAGAGCAGAAAGCACCCTTAACTGCTGAGTCACCTCTCTAGTTTCTTCCCATATCTTATATCAATACATTCTTTTTAGTTTCTGCTTTTGTTGTAAACCCCCACATCCAGTTAGTGCTGACCCACAAGCATGTGGGTGTGTGGCTATCTACTGAGGCATGAGCAAAGAGTGACTCTTCCTTCCTCAGCAGCCAACAACTGCCAGTAGCTCTTCCAATATGGGTGGGGCCTTGGGATCCTTCCTGATCCACAATGGAATTTTGACTGACTTCATTTTATTCAGGTTTTGTGCAGGTAACCACATCTTCTGTGAGTTGATGTACAACAGCCATGTCATCCAGGAGTCAGCATTTCACAGCTCTACTCCCCACCTGCCAGTTGCTACGTTCTTTCAGCCTCTGCTGCCATGAAGTTCAATGGGCCTAGTTAGAGGGAGGTTGATATAAATGACCTAGCAACAGCTGGGAACTAATAGTTACTTATCCTTAACAGTTTGACCAGTTATGAGTCTCTGCATTAACCACTACCCTCTGCAAAAAGAAGTTTTTCTGAGCATTATTGAGAGGATCACAGATCTATGGCTATAAACATAAATGGTTAGAATTGCAGACTGAGAGCATGACCATTTAGCAAAACAGTAACAGTAGGTTCCTTCTAGAGTCTATGATCTCCTTAGTCATGATCTTTTGACCAGATTTATGGTTCATAGCATGAAATCCCTCCAGGGGAGAAACCTCATACCCAATCAGAAAGCAGTCCTTCACCCATAACCTTGACACAACCATTGCATCAGTGGGGCCACTTTGCCAGCAGATCAGTATTAGAGCATGCAGTGTCCAGCACTGAGGAAAACCACTGATGCCTTTTCTCTCTCAGCAGCCTGCACACAGAAAGCAGACGTTCTGACACTGTGCAAGCTAGCCAACTTGGAGAGAATTTCTTGGTAAATTTGAGGCTGATTTTTCTATCCCTTGCATCCAAAAGTAAGTACTATCTTCAGCAATAGGGTCTTATCATCTACGTATGGTGGAAAACCAAGAGCAGTGGCAATATCCTGTGTTTTGGGGTGTGCTGGGGTCTTTCTGATCAACACCTGATAAAGAGGTAGCCTGTACCTGGCACTGAAGTTTTCCTTTTATAATCCATATATTCTGGGAGCAGATTGCCCACATTGTAAGATACTTCTGTTCAACCCCCCATGTATGTATTATGTATGTGTGTATGTATATGTATGTATGTATATATATAGAGAGAGAAATGCACTATATATAGTATACATTGTGTATTAAATATATGTGTATATTAAATACATACATATTATATATGTATAATTACCTTACAAACTAGTGGATTTCCATAAGGCTTCATCTATTCTTGACTAAACCACCCCCTACATTCCCTTCTCCCTAACTACCCTATCCCCACTTAAAACTTCAACCCTGAGTATAACTTCCCTCTCATTTCATGTCACTTGTGTTCTCCTATCCTTTCTAGTTGAAATTTTTCTTGGGTTGGATGCAGATAAAACCACTTTAAGATTCCATCTCACTAAAGTAAGTATGGCCCAAATCATGAATCTGACAACAAAAGCTGTCACAGATGTGGAGACAGTAGAAGCCTTTATACACTGTTGGTAAGAGGGTAAACTAGTGAAGCCACTGGAGGTTTCTCAAAAACTATAAACCACATGACCCATCTGTATCACTCCTTCGTAAATGCTCAAAGGACTTTATATCATACTATAGAAATACTTTCACATCAATGGTTCATTCACAATAGCTTGGAAAGAGAAACAACAAAGATACCAACAAATGATGCATAGATAAGGAAAATGTGGCACATGTTCACTATGCAATATGACTTAACAGTAAATGAAAATGAGATTATAAAATTTGCAAGCAAATGAATAGAACTAGAAAAAAAATATACTGAGTGAAGTCACCCAGGCTCAGAAAAACAAGTGTCATTTATTTTCTCTCAAATGTAGATTCCTGTAGCTAGAGTTTTCCTGCCTGGCCCACAGTCAGGACAAATCTCTGACACCCGACAGTCCCACAGCCTCTCAGACCTAACCAAGTAAACACAGAGACTTATATTGCTTACAAACTGTATGGCTGTGGCAGGCTTCTTGCTAACTGTTCTTATATCTTAAATTAATCCATTTCTATAAATCTATACCTTGCCACATGGCTCGAGGCTTACCGGCATCTTCACATGCTGCTAGTCATGGCTGTGGCTGCCAGTGTCTCCCTGACTCAGCCTTCCACTTCCCAGAATTATTCTCCTCCTTGTCCCGCCTATACTTCCTCCTGCCTGACTACTGGTCAATCAGTGTTTTATTTACTAACCAATCAGAGCAACACATTTGCCATACAGAACATCCCACAGTACTTCCCCTTTTCTTTTTCAAAAAGGAAGGTTTTAACCTTAACAAAGTAAAATTACATATAATTTGGGAATTTGGGCGTAGCTTTTCTTACTACTTCCTGCTGGAGGGGGGCACTGTATCTTATGGGAACACAAAGAAAATTTTAGGATTATGGAATAGTCCATGAGGTTTGAACCAGTTGCCTTCAAATCGTTCTGGATGTTGGATCATCTGGGCCATGGTGTCATTGGAGACCTTTCAGGGGGTCTTGGGTGGTCAAATCTGATGTATCTTAATCTGGAACAAATCCATAGCCTCTTGCTTTCTGTGGAAACAAAAGCAGAGCCTGCTTTCCAAAGCAACATATCCTTAGATCCAAATTTTGAAGTCAAGGTATCTTTAAAATATACATATTGGTTTAACTCAACATCTTTTACGATCAAATGTTTTTCTGCAGTTAAAAATCCCAAAGACAACACAATCCAGATTCTCTGTGTAATATTCATCTTTACATGGCTTATTTTTTTATATTAATTTTACTGTCTCTTTAAAGACTTTATTTTTTAAAACTGTGTATTTGTTTATATAGCTGTATATATCACCTTTTTTGTCTCTTTTAAGCCTATGTATATTTTACACACATTGTAAACTATTACATCTGAATCTGTCTTATTGTGAATCTATTGCTTTAAACTGCAGCATTTGTAAGACTGAAAAGGCGCTATGGCTGCTGGCTCCGCCCATCTCAGCTTCCCAAAATGGCGGTGGGACGTTTACCGCCAGCTCTGGGAGCTATGGTGGGTCTATGCTTTTATCCAAGCAGCATGTAGCCCAGAAACCTCTTTTTTTGTTTTGTACTAGCAAAGGCTAAATCCACCACGCAGCTTAATGTGCCACTTGCAGAGGCCTCATTCCCGCCATACTGCAGATCGAGCGTGCACACTAGGAACCCGCCAGTAGATCAAACCGGCAGGTTGCGGCTCATTTGAGAGAGACATTTAGGAAGCTGTTTTTAGCTCCATTTTAGAATCTTTTCTCAGGTTTAGGTGGAAACTCTTGCCAACTCGTTGGGTGCCATTTATAGCTAGAGTTTTCCTGCCTGGCCCACAGTCAGGACAAATCTCTGACACCTGACAGTCCCACAGCCGCTCAGACCTAACCAAGTAAACACAGAGACTTATATTGCTTACAAACTGTATGGCTGTGGCAGGCTTCTTGCTAACTGTTCTTATATCTTAAATTAATCCATTTCTATAAATCTATACCTTGCCACATGGCTCGTGGCTTACCGGCATCTTCACATGCTGCTAGTCATGGCTGTGGCTGCCAGTGTCTCCCTGACTCAGCCTTCCACTTCCCAGAATTATTCTCCTCCTTGTCCCGCCTATACTTCCTCCTGCCTGACTACTGGCCAATCAGTGTTTTATTTACTAACCAATCAGAGCAACACATTTGCCATACAGAACCAGCTTTGAATCCTTTCTATGTTTAGCCTGAAATATATGTGAAATCCAAGAAACAAGAAACTGGCTACCTTAGGGGAAGGGCATAATGAAATTCAGGTAAAATAGAAGTTGAGAAGGGGAATACTGTGGACAGAAGTGTTCAAACACAGAGAGGAAGGTGCAATGAGAAAATGAGGTATTGGTAGAGGGCCTAACCAAAATGAAAACTGCATGAAAAAATATAGAAATAATTCTTATGAGCTAAAAATTTACAAATTTTTACCAAAATCAATTAACATTTTTCTTTATAAAAAAATTGGGGGAATAAGGCATAAACAGTGATAAATGCATTCATATGCAGCTTAGTACTATTCGTCTGTATGCTGGAACTCTAGCCTTGTCCAAGTCTCTCACATCCTTTTGAAGTAGAGTGGGTCTAATACCTGAAGTGCTAACCACAAATAGTGGCTTTAATGTTTATTCTCAGAGGCATCAGCTGCCAGACACTTAGTTTTCATCTTTTTGCTTACCACATATATATGTTAAATATCACCACTATTAGTGACATCAGCTAATCCTGAACCAACATCACTGCACAATTATTCAAATGCATGCCACTCTACTCT